AAATCCGATATTGTGCTGGGCAAATGCAGATAAATTTGAAAAATTTAGTTGGCTAGCTTCCTGAGTGTTCCCACAAATATTTCTGTGTAAGCTCATGTTGGAATTACATATGTAAACATATGTGGTAACGAACTAGAGAAGGTGGGAACATATCCTGCATTAATAAATTTAGAATTTCTTCATTCTCAGGTTTAAGTAATGCAATAGTCGTTAAGTGTTAAATATCTTACCATAATAATTTCTAGAATCCTCCAGGGATGACTTAAATATTACCAACAATCTTTTGCAACACTCACAGAGATGGCAAGTAAAGCAGACTTAGCCATTTTTACATTTTTGCTGGCTCAAGCATGTTGTTTCATGCATTCCTAACCAAGAGCAACATGCCTGTACTGGGCTGACAGCTACAGTCTCCCCAGTGATTACATTTTTCAAAAATTTGACAGCAAGAAATGTAAGCCTTTTCCTCAGCATCTCTGCTGCTAATACACTGCATGGACATTAGTTTCCAAAGTGAACAGAGAAATTATTGAGACTTCTAAGACTACTGAACTTAGGAAAGTGTTCTTGCCTTCTTCACAAGTTTAACTTATAGACTGCCTGTGTTTGTGGAGTTGACTGACTGTAAGTTTATCAACATAAATATGTTTCTTTGATTTGAAGGATATCTATATAAATTGTTTTTAGATTCAAAATGCACCTGCAGTCAAACAACACTGACTTCTAAAGGAACTGAATATTATATTTTTCTATATCTTGCTATTAAACTGGTACATACTGAAAATACACTAATGTATGTAATCTTTGATACAAAATAATTTGACTTGGTAAGCATTGCACTGAGCACAGGCTGAAGAGAAAGGGTGCTGGGAGCTGTCTCTGCTGGAGGACCTCTGAAAACAGAAAGACACTTTGGATACATAAAAGATTTTATGGAATAAGTATAGAATAATCCAGCTTGTGGCACTCCTTTCCCTAACTCCCTCCTCAGTCTTATGAAATTATTTATAAAAAAGAAATGGCCACTAAAATTATGATTTTCAAATGCATTATTATACATTATTACATTTTTATTCGTGATAGTTAAACAGTTTTACTCCATAGGAAGCCTGGTGCAAAAATCAAGTGCTTTATATCCAGACACTAATCTCAGCCCACATTTTCAGGGTATAAATCTGTGCACTGTCTTAAATCTGTCTTTAAATTTGTCTTTAGAAAGACAGAATTTCTTTAAAAATATAAATGACATAGAAATGTTAAAAAGTGTATATTTTTTTTGTTTAGTTTTCAATTTAACTGTAAAACTTACAGTTTATTTTTCTGTCTTATCATGCAGAAATACTTTGTTTTTTTCTCCAGTATCTGCTTCTTGGTTTCCCCTTATCTCTATGTATCTGTACCTAGAGAAATGGCCTTTTTTTCCTCCTAAATTTTACATATCTCTTTCCCTTTTTTTTCCTCCTACAAGGATATCTCCTCACATTTCTCAGAAAATCAGTCTCTTTTTTATAACTTATCTAGTCCATTACATTCGACACACCCTTGAGAAATATCATCAGAAGCCAACAATAAGAGCAATAAATGGACAGACAGAGATTACAACAAAATGGAACCAAGAGAAACCCACAAGTTAAAAGTAATCTCAGTTGATTTTTTGGAATTACCATACAGACTAGGCAGAGGAAAGCCCATATATACACTTTTGGTTCATTATGAGTTATAGTGCTGCAAAGAATTTGACTGTAACAGGCCATGCACCTTCTGAACTTACTTCAAGGTCACCTGCCTGTGGTCTTGAGAGGATGCCATAGGAGGGAGCAACTGCTTCCTGCAATGCAGTAAACATCAGGAGATGAAGCTAGATTAAGGAAAAATTGAGAGAAACACTAGTTCAGACAAGAAAGAATCACGTCTCTCTCTTCAAGAAAGTTTTCAACATCCATATATCTGCTTTCAAGAGAGAGCATTTGTTTCCTGGTGATATATATTTTCAAACCTTGTTGTTTTCAAGTCTTGTTGCTTCCACTGCCCGTCCTGCAACATCCTTTGGCAGCTTAGCCTGGAGCTCTTTCCCCCATCCCTATTCCTGGGATGCCTACAAAAGTCACTGTTTCTTATGCATCCCAGACTGAGTTGATACCTGTCATTCCAGGCACCTGTCACTCACATGTTTCTCCAACATAACCCTGGGTTATGCTGATGAAGTGCCATCAAATTCACCACATTCCATGATTTCAGAGGTCAGCCAGAAAATGATGAAAATATGAAGTCTTACAAATTACAGAATCACCATATTCACTTTCAAATGTGGACATATTGGGTACACCATGTGAAGCGAAATAAGTCACTAGAACTTCAAAACTGTTCCAGATGCTGGCTGATGGACAAAACTCAGCTGTGACTCAGCTTTATACAGGGCAGATATATCACCAGGAACTAAATGATAATCTTTCTTAAAAGCCAGTGGGACTTTTGTGCTGATTTCAAGGGAGCAGAGCTTCAGCCAAGACACGTAACGTAAAAGTAAACATGCTGCGCTCTTCAATAGATTTATAGTTATTGTTGTTTGGTTTAGTATTAGCATTATTTCATTACAGCTATTGCAGTAGCTCTTAATAAGACTAGAAATAGACTGAAAAAAAGACTACAACATTTGACTAAAATGATCCTTAAGCAATAAATAAAACACTAGCACTGGTATAGCATAGTGTTATATTTAATTTCCCTTTACAGATTTATTTTCCCTTACCTATATAGGTGTGAGGAGAGGATGTGCTCATTTTGCTTTTTACTTTGCTTTTAATAAATTAAAAATATTTTTCTTGTCATTAGGAAATGTCTTTTCTCTATATTGTAGCAGTAGGATATCTTAGTACAAAGCATAATCTCATGTATTTGCTTCCTATAAAAGAATTAAATGAACTATGAAAAAAAAAGTGATGTCCTTAAAATAGGACTAGCAAACTGCAAGTTTTTCAGCACTGAATGCTGAAAATCTAGTATTATGTTTACAAAGGTAAAGTTACAATTACAAGGACATTTCAGCTTTAACTAAGGTGATGACAGCATTTGCAAATGCTGCAAATCCACCCATACAACCACACATCCAGTAGCTTACATGTTTGTGAAAATAGAAGGAAAAGTCTAAAAAGAGTTTCAAGGTAGATTCATAGGCCATATCCAGATTAAAGTGGATATTACTGTGTTACAGTAATGTTCGGTACAGCTTGAAAAGAGTTCCTCAAGCTGCCAGAGTGCCATTGATGGCATATTCAAGCTCCCTGGCAAGACTAGGTTACTCTGTGTGATGTGTTTGATGTTGCTTTGAATTCAAGAACATTACCGAAACACAAAAAAGCTCTTATTCAGCGGCCTGAATAAATACAATTATTCCAGAAGCGAGCTAAACAGCCATAGCTCCCCAGGTACAGAAAGGAACAGGAGCAGCAAAAGCTGAAGCTGGCTCAGGCCATAGCTTGTGCTGGAGCAGTGCAGTCCCTGGGAAGGGAGCTACAGACATAGAACAGGCACAGCGTTAGAGGACTGTGAGCATCAGCCTGGTGAACTGCAACTGCACTGTGCTGCTGGTGCACAGAGAAGTTTCTCTACTCAATAATTATTTAATCTTTCCCACATTTTGTTCTATTAACAAATATAATCTTGTTGCATCACAAACTTTTTGTGAGAGCCCCAAAATACAAAGTTTTTTACAGACAGAAATAAAATCATAGTGTCATAGAATATGCTGAGTTGGAAGGAACCTATCAAGACCACTGAATCTGCTCCTGGCCCTGTGCAGGCCATCCCAATAATCCCACTATATGAATGGGAGTGTTGTCCAAACACTCCTTGAACTCTGTCAGGCTTGGTGCTGTGAAACTCCCTGGCAAGCCTGTTCCAGTGCTCACCACCCTCAGGGTGAAAAATTTTCTGATATCCAACCTAAATCTCCCCTGAGTCAGGTTCATGCCATTTCCTCAAATCCTGGCACCGGTTGTGAGAGTGATGGGATTGGCACGGGCCCCTTTGCTTCCCCTCACGAGGATGTTGAAGACCACAATGAGGTCTCCCCTCAGTGTCTTCTTCTCCAGGCTGAACAAACCAGTGACCTCAGCTGCTCCTCATAAGGCTTCCCCTTCAGATCCTCCACCATCCTCGTGTCCCTCGTTGGGACGCTCTCTAACATCTGACTAAATTTGGTAAATACTGAACAGCGAACCAAGTATTTTTTAAAAAGAAAAGCGACGCCTAAGCATGCCTCTTGAAGACCGGTACCAGCTTCGGCAAGCGCGGGGCAGGTTGTGCCCTACGATCCCGGGGCGCGCCAGGACTGCTCCCAGCGGGGCCGTGGCCGCTGCCGGGCTCGGCCCGGCGGGGCCCGGCGCGGCGCTGACCCGGCCCCTCACG